CAATTTTTACTCTGTAAGGTGTAAACAAATATTAAATTTTTAATATTTTTCTCCTCAATGTCATAGTTTGTGAAATATCTATTAAGGCTAAAATAAATAATTACAGTATCCTGAACTTGAAATATATTTTCTGCAATTTATCTAAATGTGATTATGTGACTAAGTAATCTTAAACTACTATTTTAAAATTATAAATGAAAATGCTGGTATAAATTCTGTGATGCTTTAAAATTAAATGTAGCTAATGATTTGGCTTGATTTTAATTGTATATTAGTGACTGGAAAACCACAAAGAAATAAAATGGGTTTAATCTACATACCATTGGTCTCTTTATGTTAAATCTATGTATCTGTCAATTCATTTGCACGCACACACATATGCATTTTATATAATAGTTTCTGTATACATTTGACCCTTGAGCCACACAGGTTTGAACTATGAGGGTTCACTTATACATGGGTTTTTTACACTAAATATATTGGAAAAGTTTCTTTGAGATTTGCAATAATGTGAAAAAGATCACCAATGAACCATGTAACCTAGAATATTTTAAAAAAATTAAGAAAAAAGATATGTAATTAATGCATAAAATATGTGTAGATACTAGGCTATTTTATTACTACCGTAAAATATGACAGAGCTAATTAAGGAAATCATGAAAGGAGTTGTGGATATGGCATAAAAAGTGGCGGTGGTGGAAGTGGTGAAGGATTTCAAGAATGGATCTTGGAGAAATTCAAGAGCTAATAGATACTATGCCAGAGGAATTACAGAAGACCACTTGATGGAGAGGAGTACTTCAGGACCAATGCCAGACGATGAGGAGGAAGATGTAGAAGAAGCAGTGCCAAAACACAAACCGACATTACATTAGTCAATATGGCAGAAGTGTTCCAATTATTTAACACTGCCTTTGTTCTTTTACGACATGGATCCTTCTGTGATACAGGCACTGGAATGAAAGCAAATGGCGGAAGGATTGATACTATATAGACACACTTTTAGAGAAATAAAAGAAAAAAAAAACAGACAGAAATCGAGATGTATTTCCATGAAGTTTTGTTGCCACTTATATTGCCTCTCTTGCCTTCCCTTCCATCTCCTCCTCCTCTTTCGCCTCTGCCATTGCTGAGACAGCAAGACCAACCCCACCTCTTCCTCCTCTTCCTTGGCCTGCTCACTGTGAAGAAAGCAACAAGAGAAGACCTTTATGATGATCCAACTCCATTTAATAAATAGTAAATAATAATCATGCTGTACAGTTAATAAACTTATCTGTTGCATATGTGCGTGAATGTCTTTGTGTGAAAATCTAAGAATTGTACGGCAAGAACTGCATGAGACATTTTTGTGTCGTCATCATCATCATCGCCTAAGTATTCATCGTGTAGAACATCATGTGCAAGGCTTGTATGGAAGTAGCCGATTCTTAAGTAGGTATAAGGTGAGTGATATTTAATATAAAATTAATAATGTGTTAGTTTTCTTACTGTTTTGTAACTTTGCTTTCAAAGAATTACATTACTGTACAGTGTACCTCTCATGTAACTGGAGAAACTGTGTATCAGCCTATTATCACAGGTAAGTGGTTTTTTAAAAATAACAATTTCTCATATTATATTATGAATATGACTGTAATACTACTATATGCCCCTTACCCCCATGTTGTTCACAAGCTAACTGTAATCATTTTCCCTCCATAGACTCAGCCTCAGATTCCTGTTCTAGAATCTATTTTTGATCCTAAACTTGAACAAAACATTTTATCCTCAAAGCAAAAGGTCTGCTCTGTCCTACTACTCAGATGTCTTATTTAAAGATAATCTTTTAGGTGACATTATTTATACATAAATTATATGGGCTTAAAAAACAGCTGTGATTCACTTTGTCTGGAGATAGAACACTCTGTTCTTTGGAACATTATCGATGTGCCATGTTAGGAGTCTCTCCTTTCTTTGGCTAAATCCATTTTCATTAAAGACATGCACTATGTCAATTTCTGAAAACCAAGACACTTAGAAACCAAAGTGATTTTTACTTTTCCTTATCTCTACTGAAAACAGTAATACAAAATATTAATGTATTATCATGGTAAATTCTACCAACATTTCTGTTAGTGTATTTTTCCATTCTATAATTTCTGTTTCATTCCTTTTCATAGGGGAAGTCATGTCTTATCAATGTATTTGATATAAAACCAGATTAGTTCTTATTATGTATGTGGTAATGTCAGTATGAGACCAAATCTAACTTCCTACTTAATTAATAGATTGATAATGCTTGCTCTGTATATTTTTGTGATGCTGGAGTTGATAATGAGCCTTGATTATAACTACTGCAGCTGAAAGATGTCCTAGAAAACAAACAAACAAACAAAAATGCAGGCTCTTTCATTGCATTGACCTATTCTTGTCGCACAATTCTAGATAATAGTCCCTTAGGGGAGAATATATGATCATGCCTTGGCCCTGGCTGATTTTATGCAGGTTAGATGTTCAGTTAACACTGAGGCTAACATAAAGTTCGATTTAACACATAGTAGAGTTAGCTAGCATTGTTGTTAGTTTTTTTTGTTAGATTCTTATAATAAATATTTTAAATTTTTATGGTTTTTTAAGTTGTTAGAGTCATCGACTCTTGCTTCTTTTATCCTTAGCATCCCTGGCTCCTAATATTTTTCCATCAAAGAATTTGCCACACTACTTTTAGGTTTTGTTATGGAGTGAAATAGAAAATATAAAACCTAAGAAAAAAGAAGATGTGGGAATATCTCCAGGGTTCATTGAGAAGGGAGTGTGTGTGTGTGTGTGTGTGTGTGTGTGTGTGTGCACGCGCGCGCGCGTGCGTATGCGCACATGCATGTGATAGATTTTAGCTCTGTGTCATGTAACAACCCTTTCTTCACTGGAAAATATGAGTCTGATAAGTAAACTGCCACTCGTGTTTCCAGAGTATAGTATTGAATGGCCTGGCTGTTCCATTTTCTTGACAATTTATGTATGATATAACAGTAGGAGGAAATGAAAGTATGAGATTTTCTGCAAATCTTTTATATCTTTCACTTTGTCATAATAAAATTGTCATCTTTGAGTAAATTTTCCACCTCCTAATATATAATCAGTACTAAAGTCCTATTGACATAGCCTCCATAGTCTCTCAAATTTATATTCTATTTCTATCCACCATGCCTGCCCAGGTCCATGTTTCTGAATTATTAGAAAGTATAATAATTTACATTCCAAATTCTTGTCTTCCGAACAAACCTGTATATAACTGTCTAGTTAAGCTTCTTAAACCCACCTTTCCTGTCTTCTTCCTGCCTTCTTCCTGCCTTCTTCCTGCCTTCTTCCTGCCACCTTCCTGCCTTCCTGCCTTCCTGCCTTCCTGCCTTCCTGCCTGCCTGCCTGCCTGCCTGCCTTTTTCTTTCCTTCATATGCCCATACTTAAACTCAGTACACATTGATTGAATGCTCATTATATGACATGCATAGCAGGAGGCACTGAAACTTAGGGTCAAGTGGGAAGATTGAGGTAAGTAGATATGTATATTAAAGGAAGAACATATTAAAGACTAGTTACAATTTTATCCTTGGTATGTGCTGAGTTCTTTATAGAAGTTATTTCCTTTAATTCTTAAGATAAACCTCTGAAATAGTTGTAATTATTTTTGCATCATATGGGTGTAGAAATTTAAACTCAGAGCAATTAGATAACTTGCTTAAGATCATGCAGCCAGTGACGATAAGACTCACTTGAAGGCTCTGAAAATAGTCCATCCAAGTCAGAGGTGATAAAACAAGATCCTTAAAGGCAGTGGAGCTAAGCATAGAAAGGGATAAATATGAAATATCTTTTTAGGACATAATCAACAGGATATGACGAATTCAATATAAATCTGGTAGGAGAAGAGGTAGGTTTCTCATTTGAATACAAGAATGGATTTGGATGCCATTAAACTATGTAGGATATAGCAAGGCAAACATTTGAGGAGCAGAAGATAATGATTTCAATTTGGGCCGTATTTAGGTTGAACTGCCTCATTAACATTTTCTTGTAGGTAGAATGAGGGACAGGATCCAAGGTTCAGGAGAGATATTCAAGCTAAAGATGAAAATTAGGAACACAGCAGTTATCAGTGAATATTTAATATTAGGAACTACAGAGGCATATCCTCAAAACCTCATGACATTTTATCAGTGATAAAATCCAAACTTTCTGAGATGCTATTTAAGACCTCTATAATCTTGTATCAACCTGTCTTTCAAGCCATATTGCCTACTTTTTTTCAACATGTTATATCTTTAATAATCCAGCCAAACTAAACCAGTTCAGAGAGTGCCCTCCAAAGTAGTTTGCATTTTTCTCTTTTTAAGACTAATTATTTGGTTCTGAATTTCCCCCCAATTTCTTTATGGAAATCTTAGCCATGCTTTAAAACCCCCTCGAATATCACTATCTCTGCGCAGCTTCCCTCTCAGATGATCTTTTCCCTTTTTGGACCTCATAGGATAGGGATAACATAACAGCACAAAGAGAGGAAGCATCTGAAAAATACAAAGGAAAGGGCTTGCAGAAATGACTAGCTCAGCTAGTTATAGATTAACCACACAGATCTTTAAATGGCCTTCTGGAAACTCTTGCCACACCTAAGGATCTGTAAATAGATAGGACTGGTGTGGGAATTCCTTCCCCCTTGCAGTCCCCTCCCGAAACTCCCCCTCCCATCAGGTAGACCCTCAGACAAAGGAATCACGTGCCCCTTGCATGGACACTGCAGGGGTATATAATCTGTAAGAAATCTACCCAAGGTGAGCACATGCTTTTGTGCCAGACTGCAGTGAGAGAGTGAGGCAGGTGTATGTGTACTTTGGACTTTTGCTTTTCGTTTCATATATACTATACATATATTTCTATAGGGTGTGGCCTAAGGAAGTGGTATAATGCTGAGTACCTACCTGAGGTATTTAGATTTTCTCTTAGCCTCTCCAGGAAATGAAACTTAGAGCAAGGTGACTGCTGATGCATAAAAGTTGCTGTCAGTGGTTCAGTTAGAGGAATAGTATGGTTCTGTCTGTTGTTTCTTTATCTTCTCAGGACACCTCTAAGGACTAACTTCCCCTCTCTTGTGACTGCCGGTGGCTGTTGAACTGTGAAAAAGCAACACAGACCACAGGTAAAAGGGGGTTTGCTGCCTTATGTATAGATGAAATGGTGAGAAAAAATACAGTGCATATGTCGAGGGAACATTTAAGAAAGAAATGGCTGCTAAGAGCTAAGCTAAACGTGGAGGTTAGACTTAGGACAGAGTAGTGGTGGTGGTTTCAGTCTCAAGACAAAATAATTTATTTGTAAATAAATTAACTCCAAGATTTATTTGAGATTGATGTCAGAATGGCTGCTTTAGATTGAATTTACAATCTTAAAACATGCTAAGACTTCCCAGTAACAGCTTGATTGTTAAAAATAAATGTGATACACAACTTGCATTAGGCTTATAACTTAATGTAATAGACAAGACAAACATACAAAGGACACACACATATATTAATTTAAGTAAATATTTTTAACTGTTCTGGGAAGTCCGGGAAGGGACAGCGATGAGCTTGGAGGACTGATTAACAATGAATGGCCTTAGTAAGTGAGAAATCTACCTTAAATGGTGGTTTATAAACTTAAGTTTAAAAATGCTATTAGCATATTTATCTTGTGTGTATTTCTAAGTTTAATAATTGGAAATTGTGTTTCACTTTAGGATAAGTGTAGATATATGATTCAAATTAATTGGGATTCTCTGAACAATTAAGACTATTTTTCTGCAATATTTCAATAAAATTGGAAATCAAAGGGAAAGTTAGTTCTTGCCTCTGTATTTATTTCTAAAATCTATTGTGAGGCTCACTGGAACAGCCATTTCTGTTTTAATAACCACAGTAGTATTGTTGTCTATGGAGAAAGATAAGGGCCTTATTATCAGATAAACTCAATTCTTCAATTTATTAGTTGCATGACCTTGTGCAAGCTCTCAAACATCTCTGATTTTCTGATTACTCATCTGTAATATTAGAGATAATAATTCCAACAATATGAAATTATTCAGAGGGCTATATGAAGATGAGTAGAAAATAGTTTTAAAAAAACCACATACTTTTTTATTTTTAAAATACCGATACATTGTGTGGTAGAATGCAAAATTTATATGTATTTTTACTAAAACATGTTAAGAATGAGATATCAATGAGATGATATGCTTACCAAGGCTGCTGTTAGATCATTCCCTAGATCTTTTGTAGTTGGGGTATTTCTGGGGAAATGTTTGAGAAAAAAATGGTATTTGTGCTAATTATTTGTGCCTAGAATATGCTTCCAGTTTTTTCTTGATACAATTGACCAGTGGGATTAATCAAATAAAGTTTATACATATTCTATCTGAGGACTAGGGTAAATATTGATGATAATCTTTAAATGGCATACCCTGAGCAAGTTTGGTGAGGTGCTCCATTCAAACTCTGCTTTCTCAGATCTGTTGCTGGCCTTTGAACATGCTGTTTTTCTAGAATGCTCTTACCCTGTCATTATCTGAAAAACTAATAATCCTCAAGTTCAAGTTCAAATATCATATCCTCTGAGAAGCCTTGTGCAGTTCTCCCAAGCACTCCCCAGGTTGTGTTTCCATCCTACCTAGTGCATTTACTAGCTATAATACAACCCTCATCATATTGCCTCTTAATTAATCTGCTAATTTTTCTTTCTCTTTCTCTATATTGTGTGTGTCTTTCTTATTTATTTATTTATAATTTTAAAAAATTTACTTTTAATTATAGTTGACATCCAATATTAGATTCAGGTGTATAGCGTAGTGACTTAACATTTATATAGCTTAGGAAGTGATCACCACAATAAGTCTAGTAACCACATGTCACTGTACATCATTATTATAATATTATTGACTCTGTACCCTATGCTATACATTACATCCCCATGACTTATCATAACTGAAAGATTTTATTTCTTAATCCCCTTCCTTTTTCCACTCAAACCTTTACTCCTTCCCCTCTGATATCTATCAGTTTGTTCTCTGCATCGATGAGTTTGTTTCTGTTTCATTTTGTTTGTTTGTTTTAGATTCCACATATAAGTGAAATCATAGTCTTTGTCTTTCTCTGTCTGACTTATTTCACTTAACATAATGCTTTCTAGGTCTATCCATGTTGTTAGAAATGCAAGATTTTATTCTTTTTTTAATAGCTGAGTAATATTCCATTGTATATATGTACCACATTTTCTTTATCCATTTGTCTATAAATGGACACCTAGGTTGCTTCCAAATCTTGGCTATTGTAAACAATGCTGCCATAAACATAAGAGTGCATATTTTTCAAATTACGTTTTCATTTTCTTCAGATAAATACCCAGAAGTGGAATTGCTGGGTCGTATGGTAGTTCTATTTTTAACTTTTTGAGGAATATCCATACTATTTTCCATAGGACTGCACTATTTTATAATCACACCAACAGTGTACAAAATTTCTCTTTTCTCCACATCCTCACCAGCACTTGTTATTTGTTGTCTTTTTTATAATAGCCATTTTGACGGGTATGAGGTGATATGTCATTGCAGTTTTAATTTGCATTTCTCTGGTGACTATGGATGTTGAATATCTTTTCAAGTGTCTGTTCACCAACTGTACATTTTCTTTGGAGAAATGTATGTTCAAGTCCTGTGCCCCTTTTTAATTGGATTATTTCTTTTTTTGATGTTGGGTTATATGAGTTATTCATATATTTTTGATACTAAGATCTCATCAGATGTATCATTTGCAAATATCTTCTCCTAGCCATATCCAGTGTCAGAGAGTTTACTGCCTGTGTTTTCTTCTAAGAGTTCTATGGTTTCAGGTCTTACATTTAAGTCTTTATTCCATTTTGAGTTTATTTTTGAATATGGTATAAAAAGTGGTCTAATTTCATTTTTTTTGTATGTATCTGTCCAGTTTTCTAACACTGTTTATTGAAGAGACTGTCTTTTGTCCATTGTATATTCTTCCCTCCTTTGTCATAGATTAATTGACCATATATGCATGGGTTTTTTTTCTGGGATTCCTCTTCTGTCCCTTTGATTTATGTTTCTGTGTGTGTGTGTGTGTGTGTGTGTGTGTGTACATACTGTTTTCCTTACTATAACTTTGTAGTATAGTTTGAAATCATTGAGCATGATACCTCCAACTTTATTATTCTTTCTCAAGATTTCTTTGGCTATTCAGGGTCCTTTGTGGTTTCATACACATTTTAAGATTATTTGTTCTATTTCTGTAAAAAATGTCATTGGTATTTTGATAAGGATTGCATTGAATTTGTACATTGTTTTGGGTAGTATGGCCATTTTAACTATTAATTCTTCCAATCTATAAGCATGGTATATATTCTTCCATTAGCATCTTCTTCAATTTCTTTTATCAATGTCTTAGAGTTTACAGAGTACTGGTCCTTTACCTCCTTTTTAAAATTTATTCCTAGGTATTTTATTCTTTTTGATGCAATTGTAAGGGGATTTTTTAAATTTCTTTTTCTGATAATTCATTAGTTGTGTATAGAAACTTCAAATTCAAAAGGTTCCTGAATGTTAATTTTATATTCTGTAAATTAACTGAATTCATTTATTAATTATAATAGTTTTTTGGGAGAGGTGGATTCTTTAGGTTTTTCTCTATATAGTATCATGTTATCTGCAAATAGCAACAATTTTACTTCTTCTCTTCCAGTTTGGAAACTTTTTCTTTTGTTGTTGTTGCTCCCTTGTCTCATCTTCCAATATTGTGTTGAATAACCGTGGTGATAGTGGGCATCTTTGTCTTGTTTCTGATGTTACAGAAAAAGCTTTCATCTTTTCACCATTAAGTATAATGTTAGCTGTGTGTTGGTCATATATGGCCTTTATTATGTTGAGGTATATTTCTTTTATACCTACTTTGTCGAGAGTTGTTATTAGAAATGGATATTGAATTTTGTCAGATGAGCGTGTGCTTCTTAATGATAGAGGCCTTGAGTATATTGTCTAGAATAGTGTCCAATGTCATAGTAAATACCCAATAAAAGATGGTTGAGTAGATTAATTAATTAATTTTATTATTATAGGCACTTGGTAAGATGACAGGCATTATAGCCAAATTACTCTCAGATACTCTTTTCACAAAAATAAAACATTGACTTTTGTTTATATTTATGTGTAGTTTCTTTTCATATAACTTGTTTATTATATCTGTGATTTCTTTTAAAGACTCCATGACATTAAAATATCTTGGAGACAATGCTACTATTGATTAGAGTTTTTTTACAGAGAATTATTTTATCTGCATGTAACTGTGTTGTGAATCTAAGTATCTGTAGTACCTCTGGTTGTATCTATTTGCCTTAGCTATATGGTTGCCTTTTATAAATTTGATTTCTGAGGAATCACACTTGACATTTCCCTCTATAAGCTGAAGAATGAACATTTTGATGTAATATGAAGTTATGCTATCTGCCAGCCAACAGAGCAGTGTGCCATTGTTGTTATCTTGGTGTCACCACTTAAATATTTTACTGTTAAAAAAAGATAAGATAAAGGAAGACTACGCATGTTAACACAATGAGAGAGTACATATTTCATAAAGTCAGCTGAGAAAAAGATGGAAGTCATTGGGCACACAGAAACCAGCAAATTTTAGCCTTGATTGGATGCTAATTCATTGTAATCTGATTGACTATGTGCTCAACTATGAAATAAAAGAATATGATAGAAGTAATACTTAAAATGCTGGAAATTAATCTATGCAGACTGTTCCAAAGTAAAGATGTACATAGAAATTTTTACTATTTTCTAGTTTTCTTGAATCAAATCCTCCTTTAAACATATACATTAGTTTTTGTTTTTGTAAATGTGAATTTCACATATATATTTTCAGGGCTATGTTTTGCCCTACCATGCACCTCCATGATCTCTTTTGAGTGACTTAATTGGAAAAGGTTTATGAAAAATTATCTCGATTATGAAAATAGGTATTGAGATTTAGAGAGAAGAAATCAAAGAGTTTTTACCTTTGAAAGGAGTAAACTATATTATGATATATTGTTTTAAATAAAGTGATAATTAATAGCTTTGTTTTTAGAGATCATGGCTTCTGTGACTACTATGTTGAATGAAAAATCAAGCCCTAATAACAGTGAAAGTGAAAGTGAGAGTGATTCTGAAATTGATAACGATGACGACAGTGAGACCACGGAGAGCTTGTTCTCATTTGATCAATCTGAAGAAGAAGATCATCTAAGCTCAGAAGAAGACATAATAGAAGAGCCAGCTTCTGGGCACTTACCATGTGAGTTTGAAATCAATGAAGAGAAGCCTTCAGAAGTTGAAGCTATAGATGTCAGCAGTTCTGATTTTGAAAGATTATGTGAAGCATAACCCATGGATGAATTTCCCTTCCTCCTTCCTTTTTCTCTTCCTCTTCCTCTCTCTCTTTCTCTTTCTCTTTCTCTCTCAACAATATTGATACCTTTCACCATTTTTTTCCTTCCATATTAAAAAAATTTTTTAGTTGACCACCTGAATGAATAGTTTGCTTGGCTTGAAATCTATATTGTAAAATAATTAGATTTAGAAAATTTTTATGAGTGTGTATAGGTGATTTTATTTAAGTTAAATATAGATCAATTATACTCTATTCTAGCATAGATTCTTAGACTTTTCACCAGTCCAGTTGAATTAATAAATCCTTGGGAATAGGGACTGAGAATTAACAATTTTAAGGTTCTCACATGATTCTGATTATACTACGGAAAAACTAAAAGCAGATCCAAATGATTCTGCTTGACTCAAAAGGTTAAAGAGTATTCGAATATTAAACATAAATTTCTATATTTAATATTAGCACATAAAATACAATTATACAGAATTTAAAAAATCATGTTGAGTTTTAATATATATCTCAATATAAAAAATTTTGTAATAAAATCTGTATATTATCGGATTAAAATATTTCAGCAGATGCAGAAAAACATTTAATAAAGTTCAATAGTCACTCATGATTAATTTTTCAACAACTAGGAAAAGAAAATATCTAAACTTTATAAAAGTAGCTTGCTAAAAATCTATATCAAACATCAAATAATGATAAAACTTTATCCGCTTTGCCATTAAAGTGAGGCGCAAGAAAGAGTATTTGTTCTCATCACTACTGTTTAGTATTATATCAGAAGTTCTAGTAAGCATGAAAAAACTAGAAAAGTAAATAAGATGTAAAAAATGTGAGGATAGGGAAGAAATAACATATTATAATCTACCTCAGGCAGTGAAAAAAATCTACCTTAATTTCCAAGAGAATCCACACACAACTGAGAAATAAGAGAAATCTTCTTTGGGATATAAGATGGACATTTTAAAAATATGGATCCTATCAACATCCATATGGAAATGTCCATTAGTATGAAATCTAATACTGACTCGAAACACCAGAAATGACTAATTGGAAAATGTATTAAAAGAAAGAAAACTATCAAAATAGCCACACAAACTAACATATACTCAGGAGTAAATCTAACAGAACATATTAAGAAGAAAATAATTATGAAATATTATAGAAGAACTTAATTGAATAAATGTAGAAATATACTAGATTCTTTCTTATTATTCAGTATCACAAATATATCAAGTATCCCCAGATTAATCTTTAAATTTAATACATGTTCTATCTGAATCTACTCTTTCATCTTGCCTCTACAAAAAAATGCAGTAGAATATCATAAATCCATATATAAATATAAGAATCATTTATTTCAGAAAACTAAAGATTGTATACAAATCAGTTGGAGAAAGACAGCCTAACAGAAAATGGGCAAAGGTTACAAATAAGCAAATTACAAAAAGGAAATCTGAACGTTAAAAAAAATAGATATATATACTCTACAAGATATTCATCATTGGTAGTAATATAAATTAGAACTATGAGACACTATTTCACATTTCTCAGATTAGAAATATTTTAAAATTTGATAATATCAATATATTGAAGATAAATTGAATATCTCTGTAATCCTTACTTCTTAGAGAATCTCTCTTACATATGCTCAGTGAGACATATTAAAGTTAATGTACAATATGCCATCATTTGTAAGACAAAGGCAAGAAAACAAAATAACCTAAATATCTATCAGTATGGAATTTAAAGATAATATATTCATAGTAGGAGTATTATCAGCTGCTAAAATGAATGCACTATATGTGTTTCAATATGAATAGATCTCAAAATGATGAAGTTGAATGAAAAAAACATGTAGAATATCATTTAATTTAAGGAGACATATAGCAAAGAAATATCACATTGTTGGTTGCCTCTGTGGCAGACAGAATGAGAATTCAACTGTATCTGTAATGTTTATTTCCCTTAAGTAAATTTGAAGCAAATGAGCACAATTTTAACATTTATAAGTTCCAACGATGGGGTACATAGGTATTTGTTAGTTATTTTTTTAATGCTTTTCTGTATATATATATTTTTAGGCGAGGCAACCCTTGGTTTACTTCACAAATTGCAAGGAACTTGTCAGCTTACATTCCCTTATTTTTTATTTTTTATGCCTACAGCACCTGGTCATCCTAGGTGGTCTCCCATCCAAGTATTAACCAGGCCTGACCCTGCTTAGCTTCCGAGATCAGATGAGATCGAGTTTGTTCAAGATGGCATGGCCATAGACTACTTTTCTATATTTTTAAACTATCATTATCACCCTTCCCCCCAAAAAAGGATCAACTGAAATTTAGGGTTGCCCAATTACCAACCGCCTTTTATTTTGATATTGACTAAGTTACCTATATTTGTTTATTCCTCATCTGGATGATGTATGAATAACATTTACCCAGAGCAAATATTAATAATTTACCTAAGCTCAAATTGAAATATTTCTAACCTACTCAGAAACTAAAAGAAAAATTAAATACAGTGTATCAACTTAAATAATGTGTTTCTAAAATTATTGACACTAATGAAATAAAACTTTAAAATATTCTTCCAAATGAATATATTTCCATGACTCCAACCAATTAGGCAGACTCTTGATAAGTACAACTTAAGAACTGGTAGCAGGGTAACATGC